AAATATTAGTTTAGCAATGGCGATAATATCTCAGTCACTATATTATGTATTTTAACTTTATATGTCAATGTTATTACACCAACAAAAGGCTCTGAAACCAACAAAAAAGTCAGTTCAATGAACTATTATTAATTCCGCCTACTGATTCGAGAAAATGAAGACAATCACATATTGAAATGTCGGCGTTTATATCACAAATATATTGAAACGGAGAGATTAACATTCATCAGGTTGAATCAGATCAAACTCCGATCTGAAGAGTATATTCACCTTCGAGATGCGATTAATTCTAATGGAAAYGCACAAAATGTTGGTCGGATGAATATTCCTCCAGCAACATACATCGGAAGCCCTCGACATATGCACGAATATACTCAAGATACCATGTCGTATGTTCGTCATTATTATACATCACATTTACATGCAATCCGCACTGAATAGAAATCAAGCAGGAGTTATTCCCTGGGCAATCACCCATTGATCGTCATGATATTACAGCCAGAGTCTTTAGACAAAAATTGAAATCATTACTGGATTTCATCGTAAATCATTGTGTGTTTGGTGAGATACGGTGCTGGATGTATTCTGTAGAGTGGCAGAGACGAGGATTGCCACATGCGCACATTATGATTTGGTTGGTTGAAAAAATAAGGCCAAATGAAGTCGATGCAGTGATATCAGCTGAAATCCCTAACATGCAAATAGATGGTCCCTGTGGAAGTCTTAATCAAAATTCTCCATGTATGATGGATGATAAATGTTGAAAACGATATCCACGAACATTAATAGCGGAAACAATTACTGGTAATGACGGTTACCCACAGTATCGTCGACGATCGACTGCAGACAATGGAAGATCAACAACTGTCAAATTAAATCAACAAAATATTGAAATAGACAATCGTTGGATTGTTCCATATTCACCAATTTTATCAAAGACCTTCAAAGCACACATCAACGTTGAATCTTTCCGTTCAGTGAAATCTATTAAACACATTTGTAAGTATGTAAGCAAAGGGAGCGATATGGCTGTGATTGGAATTGGTGCAAAGAATTCCAATGATGAAGTTACCCAATACCAAATGGGCCGCTATGTTAGTAGTAATAAAGCAGTATGGCGAATACTTTCTTTTCCTATTTATGAGAGACATCCTTCTGTTGTTCACTTAGCTGTGCATTTAGAAAATGGACAAAGAGTGTACTTTACAGCACAGAATGCAGTGCAAAGAGCTGCTCAGCCACCATTTACTACGTTAACCAGTTTTTTTGAGACATGCCAAAACGATGATTTTGCACGCACATTGCTATATTCTGAAATACCAAAATATTATACTTGGAATCAATCCTCAAGAAGGTTTATTCGACGGAAACAATCAAAACAAGTTCCAAGATACCCAGATATGTATTCCACCGATGCCATTGGTCGAATTTATTCAGTACATCTAAGTAATGATAAATGTTTTTATTTACGACTGCTATTAGTCAATGTATGTGGCCCAACGTCCCTCCAACATTTACGAACTGTTGATGGTGAATCGTGTAGATCTTATAGAGAGCCTGTCAACCATTGCATTTACCAGAAAAGGACGCTCAATGGGATCAAACTCTCAATGATGCTGTAATATCATCACACGTTCATCAAATACGAACATTGTTTTCTATAATCATATCTACATGCTTCCCATCAAACCCAATTGATTTGTGGATCAAGTACAAAGATTGTATGTGTGATGATATTTTGTATCAAATACAAAATAGAATGGTAAATCCAAATTTACAAATCAGTGAAGAAATTTACAACGAAGCATTGATTTCAATTGAGGACATGTGCTTGATGATATCAAACAAACTATTAATTCAATTAGGCCTGACCGATGACGCATGATGCTTTTAACCAAGAGTAGAAACGAGAGAATCAGTATGATCTCGGCACTTTGAAAGAAATA